TTTAGACTTCAATACTAAAGAATATTTCAATAAATAAACTTATCGAAACTTAAATTAACCCCAACCGGGATCGAACCGATACTCCCACAGTGAAGTTGTGGTGTCCTACCATTAGACAATGAGGTCTTATTAGATGATTGTATTACTTATATCCCCCCCGCGAAGCCAACGTATGTCGCTAGCGGGGGGAGAAAAGATGAGCCTCATTCAAGGTATTGAGGGTATGAATATAAGGCAATTTAGAAGAGGGTATTATTTAAAGGTATCTAAAAAAGGGGAAGATGTTAATTTAATTAGTGTCGAGTGAATTTAAGAGCACCTTTACTCCATTCATAAACAAATCCGATCGTTAAAACAATTAAGAAAATAATAGCTACCCAGAATCCTAATAATGAAACTTCATATAAAGTAACAGCAAATGGGAATAAGAATAATACTTCAATATCGAATACGATAAATAAAATGGCTACTAGATAGAATTGAATAGAGAATTTTTGTCGAGAATCTCCTAAAGGAGTAAATCCACACTCATAAGGTGATACTTTTTCACTATAAGGTTTATTAACAGCTGTAAATTGATTAATTACTAATAAAGCTAATACTAATACAGGGATAAATAGAAAGAAAAACGTTAATGTATTCATTACCAATAAAATAAACTTAAAGTGATTAGATGAGCACTATTTAATAATGGTGTTGGGTTAAAAATAAAGAAAATTAATAATAAAGTAAGTGTAGCAATCACTAAACTACTTGAAGTTGTTACTGTTTCTTTATTTACTACATTTGTATCAGTTACTGTGTATGGATCAAAATGAATCACTTTAATTACTCTTAAATAATAAGCAGCACTTACTACACTTGTTAAAATAGCTACTAATGCTAAGAAGAAATTTCCGTTATGCACTGCTGAATATAAAACCATCTGTTTACCAAAGAATCCTACTAGTGGAGGAATACCGGCCATTGAGAATAAACAAATCGCTAAACTAATACCTAATAAAGGATTCATTTGGAATTGTCCTTTTAATTGATTAATAAATTGAACAGGTGAATAAGGAGCTAATCCTCTACTATGTAATAGATAACCAAAAGCAATTAGAATAAAGAATACATTTACATTTGTTAATGAGTATTGAATTAGATAGAATAAGAAAGATTCAATTGATTCTTCACTATTAATCGCTAAAGCTAATAATAAGAAACCTACATGAGAAATCGTACTATAAGCTAATAATCGTTTAATTCTATATTGAGATAATCCACCAATTGTACCAATCATTAAAGATAGTAAAGAACTAATTAATAATAGATATGTCCATGAAGACCAATTTGATAATTGAGTAAATCCTTGGAATTCTAAAATAAATACTAATAATGAAATTTTAGGCATTGTTACTAACCAACTCATTACCATTGTTGGTACTCCATCATATACATCTGGAGCCCAATTATGGAATGGAGCAGCTGAAACTTTGAATAATAGACCTACTACAATTAATAATACACTAATTTCAATAGCATGATTACTTGTTGTAGTTGAACATAACATGTATAGTCCTTCAAAACTAGTTAATCCTGTAAATCCATAAATTAAACTACTTCCTAATAAAATGAAAGCTGAAGATAAACTACCTAATAAGAAATATTTTAATCCTGCTGCTGTTGCAGATTCAGAATCTCTATAAATCGTAGCTAAAATATAAACAGCGAAACTTTGTAATTCAATAGATAAGAACATAGATACTAAATCACTGCTCGAAATTAAACTACTCATTCCTAATACAGAAAATAATACAATTAAAGGATATTCTGCTAAAACGGGTAAATATTTACCAATCATACTCGATTGTTTCACAGTTACTCCATCTTTTAATGATGTTCCAGTTCCAATCGTAGAGTTTTCTCCTAATAAAAGTACTAAAGCACCAATTAAACAAATGAATACATCAATACTTTGTGTAATCGCTGTAATTTGGAATAAACCACTAAATACACCAATTCCTGATCCTACTAAATCAGTATAAATTGTATTGTAAGCTAAAAATCCAGAATAGATTAATACGATAATCGCAATTCTGTTGAAATTAATAGCTGAAATTCGAAGGGAAAATAAGGCAATCGCTACAATCATGGTTAATACACTAAATAAAACCATTACTCACTTAACAACTCCTTATTTTTTAAAACTGAATCAACTCATCTAATTGAATGAACCTTATCGGACTTTCATTTTATGAATCAAATTCTAATTTAACATACTTGAAGCACAAGGCTCCAAACCACTCAGACTGAAATTTCAACCTGGTGGCTAATCTATATGTCCTGGGGAGGAATTGAACCTCCTCACTATGATTTTCAGTCATACGCTCTACCATTTAAGCTACCGGAACTTATTCTAGGACCCGTCCCTTAGGGACGGGATCCCGGAAACAGCATTTTCATAAAAATGCGTTTCTAATCTTCAAGATCAAATCAATCCACTAGATTGTCATTTTTTTCCAATACAAATCATTCAATGATTAAGGTTAGATCATTACTTATAAGTTAAATCCAATTAACAAAACTCATTCTGTTAAGCTCCTAGAACTAGGTCATCCTATATCAAGGGGTCTAACAACTGATATTCTTCATTTGTTTTATTTCTGTCCCTGATAGAATCAGGATCGGGAATTTGAATGGATTTAAAAGTAAAGTAGAATACAAATTTATTACGCTGTTATAGTTCAATGGTAGAACGCTAAACTGTTAATTTATGAATAGAGGTTCGATTCCTCTTAACGGCTATTTCTAAAATATTTGTTTAACTTACTTATTTCTTAAAGATAAGTAAGTCTGTTTTATTTAAATCTAAAATATGAATCACTTTTAAGGGATTAAGTTCTTATTAATAAGGTAATATTAATAACACCCTAAAATAAGACGGGTCCCCGGCCTTGTGGGCCGTGAACTTAATGAAAGTCTATTCTCCGCCGAGGTGGGCCATCGGTCCGAGCCCGGCGGCTATTAAATAAAATCCATCCTTTTAGAAAAATCATGAATATATTAATATATACTCTATAGTTTTCCTAAAATAATATCTGGGTTGGGACCTAGTGTTCTGTGCTCCGGGGAATATTATGATTGAATATCATAATTTAAACCTTATTTTATGGAAAAATTAAATGAATTGATTTCAGAATGTAATCTCTTATCCCCCTTAGGTTAGATAAGATTCATTCTGGATTTTATTTAATTAGCTTTGCTGAACTATAATTTTCTCAATATAGTGAGAATGAGACTCCAATCTATGAATACTATTTTATTAGATTTACTAGCTTTTGGTTCTGTATTATCAGGTATTTTAGTAATTACATCTAGAAATCCTATTATTTCTGTATTATTTTTAATTTCAGTATTTGTTAATGTTTCTTGTTATTTAATTTTATTAGGGATCAATTTTATTGGTCTTACTTATTTAATTATTTATGTAGGAGCAGTAGCTATTTTATTCTTATTCGTTGTAATGATGATGAATATTAAACTTGTTGAATTAACAGAAGTAAATCAAAAAGGAGAATACACTAATACTTTACCTCTAGGAGCTATCGTAGGATCATTATTCTTATATGAATTAGCATTCCAACCTGTACCTTCATCTGTATCTGGAATGAGTTCTACAATTTATAATTTATTTGATGAAATTAATTTATTATCTGTAAATACTTCATTTAAAGGAACTGCCTTTAATTCAGCAGGAATTGAGGCTTATACTAGTTTCAATAATTTATGGGATAATGCATTTACTTCTTTCCAACAACTGGAAAGTGTAGGTTCTTCTTTATATACAGTTCATATGATGTTCTTAATTATCGCTAGTATGATTTTATTATTAGCTATGATTGGACCTATTGTTCTGACTCATAAACCTACAAAACGATTACACTAAGCTTATTCAACTTTAATTAATAGATAGATTTTGAATCCTTACAAGGAGAATTATTTCTTAAGAAATAGTTCCGGACGAATGTCTAGTCTGTCTCATCTTTGATGAGTCTGACCGTCTCGAGTGCAAAGCACTCGGGATAGTCCCAGAGGGACTACCCTCGGGGACAGGCTCCTCGGGCTATAATCTATTTTCGTTTTAAATAGCTGCCTGGTTAAGACCGGTAGCCCGTTCCGGCGGAGAATTTCTCTTAGTTATAACGACTATTAATTTAAAAGTCAATTTATAGAGTAAATCTATGAAAATAGCTTGATAACGATTTAATATAATAATCAATTTAAATAAAGTTCTATTTTTGAACTCTAACTCATAAATTTTTAGGATATCTTTCTTTTCAGGGAAAAGAATTCTAGGCTCTAAGCTTAGGATCAGATCCTAAATCGGATGTGATTTGTCAAAGGGATGAACTTTATCAATTGTATTATGACTACTTTTGTTTTAAAATGAATTAATGTTATTATCATTAATTGAGGTACTTATTGTAATTGTACCATTATTATTATCTGTTGCATTTATGACAATTGCAGAAAGAAAAGCAATGGGATCAATGCAAAGAAGATTAGGGCCTAATGTAGTAGGATATTACGGTTTACTACAACCTTTTGCAGATGCGTTAAAACTATTTGTAAAAGAATCTGTAATTCCAGCTCATGCTAATAAAGCCTTATTCTTATTTGCTCCAGTATTAACTTTAATTGTTAGTTTATTATCATGGGGTGTAATTCCTTTTGGTTCTGGATTAACATTAGCTGATATTAGTTTAGGTATTTTATATCTATTAGCCGTATCTTCTTTAGGTATTTATGGAGTTGTATTTGCAGGATGGTCTGCCAACTCTAAATATGCTTTCTTAGGATCTTTAAGAAGTACTGCTCAAATGATTAGTTATGAAGTAGTGATTGGATTAGTTATTTTAACTGTTATCCTATGTTTAGGATCTTTAAATTTAACAAGTATTATTGAATCTCAAATTAGTACTTGGTATATTATTCCTTTATTACCATTATCATTAATGTTCTTAGTTTCTATTATTGCAGAAACAAATAGAGCACCTTTCGATCTTCCAGAGGCAGAAAGTGAATTAGTAGCAGGTTTCTTTACTGAGCATTCGAGTGTTCCTTTTGTAATGTTCTTCTTAGCTGAGTATGGTTCTATTATTTTAATGTCTACTTTATATAGTATTTTATTCTTAGGAGGTTACTTAGTACCATTTGTATTCTTTGAAAATCCTACATTTTTATCTTTAGAAGGATTAGCTTTAGGATTAAAAGTATGTTTACTTCTATTCATCTTCATTTGGGTGAGAGCCTCATTTCCAAGACTAAGATATGATCAACTAATGTCTTTCTGTTGGACAGGTATGTTACCAGTGGCACTAGGATTTATTATTCTAGTTCCAAGTATCATCATGGCCTTCGAGATCGCTTAATATAACACAATCCCTTTATAGGAAGGAACATGTTCCATTCCGTTTTATTTTCTATAAATCATTTTGATAACATGAAAACAAGCAACAATATTATTAATGTACCATATGAAGTACAAACAACTTATAAAGACTTAATTCTAAATAAAGGTACAATTCAATCAGAAATGAAAAATGTATCTGGAATTTACGTATTTAAAAATGATTTGTCTAAAGATCCCAGAGATTTATATATTGGTAGTGCTATTGATATTTCTAAACGATTTGATCAACATATGAGGAATTCGAATTCTAATATTCATTTACAAAATAGTCTGAATAAATATGGTAAAGAAAACTTCTCTTTTTGCATTTTAGAATACTATATTTATGATTTAAATTTATCTAAAAGAGAAAATGCCTTACTATTACTGATTTTAGAACAAAAATATCTCGATTTAATGAAACCAAATTACAATATTAACCCATTAGCTGAATCTAGATTAGGAGCTAAACATAATGAAAGAACTAAGGAATTAATGAAACAGGTAAATACTGGAGAAAAGAATCATTTCTATGGAAAAACACATTCGAATGAATTCAAAGAATTTATGAAAATGAGAATGTTAGGATCTAACAATCCAATGGCAGGTAAATTAGTAACTGAATTAGTAAAACAAGCTATTAAAGATACTCAAAATCAACGTGTTTATCTTTATGATTCTAATACAAAAGAATTAATTAGAGTCTATTCTAGTCAAGTAGAGTTTATCAAAGAATTACATGTCTCACCTAAAACAGTTCTTAAATATCTAAAATCAGGAGAAGTTTGGAGAGAAAGATATATTATTTCCTCCAATATTTTAGACAACTACTAGTTCCAAGTATCATTATGGCCTTTGAAATTGCTTAATATAACACACTCCTTTTTAGGATACCTTTAAATAAAATCATGGATCCTAAAAGTAAGAAATGACTTTATTGACAAATCAAAATTCTCTTTAGAATACCTATTAGGCTTAGGAATTAGAATCATTCTAAATCCATTGATTTAAAGGAAAGTCCGAGGTTAAACTAATTCATAGTGCTTTAGCACCCGATATAAATCTGGGGAAATAATAAGAAAATAAGTATGAATTCACTTAGGTCCCTATTAAACCAGGAACCAAATCATTCTTACAGAGTTTATAACCTATGAAGACCTTATTTATCTTTTGCGAGAATCTTCCCTAAGTCCTTGGTTCCTACCAGACCAGGAACGAGAAGAATTCATGGCTGAAGACCATGAATCTTCCAGATGACCAAGATAAACAGACAAATGAATGATATTACAAAATTCGGCTTATCTAATTCTAAGTCCATGGTATTTGTCCTTTAAGTTATCGAAACGAGATTTTACAATGGTAAGTATACCTTACATTTTGAGAAAGAAATTTTATCCTTATAAAAATCGATTTGATTATATAAGAAATAGAATATTCTAACGATAATTGAATTGTTTCCTATTTAGTTCCCAGCCCCAAGAGGGCTGGGGACCAGGGACGAGGAGAAGATTCATTT